AAAAAAATTACTATGCCCCAAAAGTTGTACTCTGGAGAAAAGCATTTTGGAAATGTTGGTTCCCATGGTTTCTTTGAGGTCAGTGACTATTTTTGTGTCATCAAAGTATACAAGAATGTCTGAGTATTTAAAGTGCTTATTATATATTTGTTGAGTGAAACAAATGAGTGAATAAGTGAGTAATTGATGAAGAAGCCTCCTTCTGGTGTTCTGGCTCTGACCTGTGGGTTTCTGGAGGGAAGGTGGAAGCTCTCCTTTGATTTCTTCCCTTCAGTCTGAGGGCTAGCCTCCTCTTCAGCCCTCAGTATTGACACCAGGGGACTGAGCAATGCTAGTGGGTAAAGCTGCCTTTAGGAAGTGTTTTAGAATAGTCAGAGGAGAAGAGAAAGAATGGGAAGATGGAGAGGGGAGATGACAGGGAGAGAGGGAGCAGGAAAGGAAGTCAGAGGTAAGTGCAATGGCATAGGTGAGCACCTTGGAGAAGACCACAATGTGGTCTATCTCTTGACCCTTCTGGTCAAGATATTAGAAAAGCCAAGTATTTTTTTTCCACTCCTCCTTCCCTTTAGTCCTCTTTTCTTTGGCTCAGGACCAAATGCAATGCACTTATAAGTATTCAAGAGGGATCTAATACATGTTTGACATAGATCTCCATGGATGGTGAACTTGGAGATTTTGACATATAGCACTAAGTAAAGAGAGAAGAGTAAAATATTAGAACTTGAGAACATTTTGAAGATCGTTGAATGTAATTCCCTTATTTGCAAACAGGCCAACAGAGACTCTGTGAAGGTGAGGGATTGCTCATGGTGATAGATAGCACAGTAACTAGCCTGGAGCACACACATTCCAACTCCTGGCCTGTGCTTTCTCTTTCCCTCCTTGACACAAACATGACCATACTGTTTTATGGTCACAGATGAAGAATCTTTAAAGGATAGACTGCATTAATGTAATATAGTCAAATGGGTGATTGTGGATATTAGTCCATAGATTGGTTGCCTCTTCCAATTCTCCCCATTTGACTAGTTCTTGACAAATATAAGGATGGAAATGATGCATTGAAGAGAAGATCACGAGGTCATGACCTTGGCTACCCAGAGGATGTGTCTTTGGAACTAATTTCTAGGAGGTTTGGGAAGTTCTCTAATACTTTCCCACAGTTAAATTTGTGCCTTTGGGAAGTCATGATAATGACACAAAGGATTATTAATACTTTAATCTATTGTTTTTTTCAAGATCCTTGTACTAAATTCTTAAACTAAGATATCAAAACTAATCCCCAAATCTTGCCTACTTCCATACATTAAGAAAAAAAGTCATCTGATTTTCTTACCTCAAGAATTTGTTAGTTGCTTTACTCACTTAATCAATAGTCTCAAGAGGTGGTGATATTTAATTATTTGAGTTAATTCAACTGTCAAAATATGCGTGCAGATTCATGGACAACTCTGCCACACTGGTTGCCATTCTCTCTACAGGGAATATACATTTCTAGTGTGGCCCCTGCAATGGCCATGTGTGGTGATGGTCCACGTGTCTTCAAGCTAGAGACACACAGGGAAATTCCAACCTTTCAGTGTTAAAAGTAACAAGTGAAAATGTTTTTCTTTTCTCTATCTTGGTTCCTTCCATAAGTGACCCTACCTGTTTCTAAAGAGTGTTTCTGGAACATTCTTTTGTATTCTTATTACACTTTTTTGTCCTCCATCTAACAGGATGATCCACCTAAATACTTTTCATGACAGTATCTCTCCCCAGCTCAAAGACCTTCAATGGCTTCCCACTGTCAAAAAAAAAGAACAATTAAAATCTATTTCCCAGCATTCAAAGCCTTTTAGAACTTGACCCTATACTATTTTTTGTAGTACTGGGTTTTGACCTCAGGGCCTCATGCTTTCTCAGCAGGTGCTCTACTGCTTGAACCACACCCCCAGCCCTTTTTACTTTTAGTTATTTTTTGGATAGGGCTTCATGATCCTTCTATGTGCACTCCTCATATAGCTTAGATTACAGATGCTTACCACCAAGATCTTGTTGAGATAAGATCTTGTTAACTTTTTGCCTGGGCTGGGCATGAATTGCCATCCCCTGATCTCTGCCTCCAGAGTAGTTAGGATTACAGGAGTTAGCCACCACTCCTGGCCTCACCCACTCTGCTTTTCTACCATCTCTCCTACTTGTAGTTGACACCACTGTATCATTGCTCCTGGCCTCTTTTGTATCTTCCTGTCGATTTTGACACCCACTCTTTAAATATAGCTTTCTTCCTTTATCATGACTTCTAGGATATCCAATCATAAAGTGATTTCTTTTACCTCTGAATATCTAACACCTTTCTTTTTCTGGGAGAGGAGCACCACTCTGACAACACATGGCACATATCACCTTGTGCTATATCCATTTGTGGTAGAAATCTTTCTCTTCCTTGAATGTATGTTTCTTGAACTGAGAAGAATCCTTGGGGTCTTGACATTTTAACTGTCTTTTTCCCTAACATACCTAATTCACAGTTAAATGAATGAAAACGCTAGGGCCAGAGCTAGGTTTTCCTTAAGCAGGCAAGCCCTACAAGACTTCAATCATTTTAAGTGTGGGTACTTACAAATATTTCCTTTTAAGAAATCTGGATATGTTAAGATAAAAAAGCAACCTGTAAAATAAAGGCTGCAAAGCAGAAGTTATCCAGCATTTCATCAGCCCACATTGTTTTTTTAGAAAATAGTGAAACTTAAAAAATTTTGGGAAATTTCACATAAAACTTCTTTCTTTTCAATTACCTTGGAAAATGAAAAGGTCTGGCAACCTGGACTCACATTTTCATGTGGCAGAAATTCACTGGAGGTGAGTAATCTTGGCCCAGGTCTCTGCTCTCTATTCTTCCACAGTCCTAACCCAGCCCACATGTTCTTTGCTTTTTCTATCTGCCTGGCCCCTGTGTGAAATTGAATCAGACACAGTAAAAAGGAGATGGAGGAGGAACAAAGAGAACAAGAAGGTCAAGGTGAAGACTGTCCAAAGCCAAGGTAAGCTAAAGGATGGGCATTTTGGAAAAAAAAAATGTTGGAGACATGCTTAAAAATATTCAGATAAAGAGAAAGAAGTGAATTAAGAGAATAAAGAGATAAAGCAAATGAAGAAAAAAGAAAGGAAATATAAAAACTCATCAAGTCATCAGGCATGAGTCCATGCTGTCATCATCAGCAATTTATTGGGACTGAGTAGATCACTGAGTATCCACATGGAAAAGGTTCAAAGGAGAAAATAGTGATGGTTCTCAGCAGAATCAAAATTCCTATTCTTGTTTTGATTGAGAACCCAGCCACCAGAATCTTCTTACTACTTGAAGTTGAGGACAGGAATGGCTTGCAACTCTAGGAAGACCTAGGCTTTTACAGTGCTTACCAGGGTCCAGGCGAGAGCAGGGATAGCACACAAGGAAGAAGCCCTTGCCCTGGTCTTCCTCAAGCATCTTTTTCCTCCAAGTCCTCTGGATAACCTCACCTCCAAATTTGCCTTGCAAACCACCCTCAGTGGCCACCAGGGGGCCCCATTGCACCCCACATTCAGAATTCATCATCAGTATTGGCTCACCTTACTGTCACTTGGGAAGTTTTTGTTTTCATCCATTTTTAGTGAGAAGTAACCTGGGATTAATTTAGCCTTGTCTTTAAAAAATAAGAACTATTAGCCAACTAGTAGTTAAGTTAAACATAATAAGGAAATATAAACATAGCAAGATGGACCACAATCAGGTCACTGCAGAGGGTGGGAGGAGATGGAAGAAATGTTCACCCTGAGAAAAGGACTCCATTTGTTCCCAGCTCACCCAGTTCACTCTTGAAGGTGTGATCCTGTGGAAGGTTGGAGTGGGTGTTCCGAATGGTTCCTCCTCCAACAAACCAGTTCACATTGGGATTCCAGCGGTTCACAAAGCCACAGAGATGATTTTCTTCAAAGTCACATTCTGGTGGAAGAGAAATAAAAGCAGACTTCATGGTCTGGATACACTCATCTTCACAGCAGAGTTTGCCCTTAGACATTGAGGTTTCTCTCTTCCTTTACCCATTGGAACCTTTGGACCAGGACTCATGGCCAATAGTGGCCAAGAAGAGAGGCCCTGTAATGTGGCCTGCTGTGTGACTCTGTCTCTTAATATGTGATTTGGGGAATACATTCCCACTTCACAGGGTTGTTGTAAGCATAGGTAGCTCCTAGTGCAGTGTCAGGCATGTGGTGATGCTTGGTATAAGCTGGCTATTTTGTCAGTTATTTTTATTAAATTAACTCACTTTTTGGGGACTAAACCCAGAGCCTTCAACAGGCTGAACATGGGCTCTACCACTGAGCTATACTCCTGGTCCAACTCATCTTTGATTGAGGGTTATGCTGTCAGCTCCAGAAATTTTGTCTACTACCTTTTCTTTAACCTGGTACCCCAGGCCTCCATCCTTTTCTCTCCTGATGGTGAACAAGATGCCCAGAGATGAAGGGAATGTTTTCTGGATGTTAACCCTGCCACCCTAGGCTTTTCTTATAAACAACAACATAGTTGGAATAAGCAGGGAAGACTAATAGGCCAACCTAGTTGGAATGGCCTAAGCTCAGGGCCTTCTGCAACTCCTGAGTGGAGAAGTAAAAGAAAACAGGTAAAACCTCTCTGTCTCAGAGGCATTGGTATATTTGCTATAGATTCTTCCCCAACACAGACTCTTTTAGTGAGAACAAGAAGCTCACATGATTGAAATACATTATATGTATGTATGAAAAGGTCATAATGGAACCCATATAAAAATCTTGTAAAAAGGGGTTTGGGGGTAGAGGGGATAAGAAAGAGTAGTGGGGGGGTAAATATGATCAAAGTACATTATATGCATGTATGGAAATATCAGAATGAAACTCCCCACAATTAATATACACCAATAAAAACTGAAACTTATAAGCCAGTGTTTCCACTGACCCCATAATAATGCAATTCAAAAACATGAAGGATGATTCCTGCCCCGCCTTCCTCTGCCTTCTTCACCCTCCAGAGGTTGACATATCTAGACTACATCAATAGGCTTTCCTGACTTTGGGCTTCCTGTTGGATTCCACTAGAAGAAGCATGGCATCAGGGGTTCATTTTCCTAGCTAGATCCCTGCCAGGTCACCATGATTGGCTGTGTCCCTTTACTGAGGGCACAGCCCAGTCCAAAAGCCCCCAATGATAGTGATTTTTTTTCTGAGTTCCCATAACTTCCGCTTACCTTGCCCTTTTATACTTAACCAGGATAGCAGCTCCTGAGTTATTGCTGTTACTAGTCCTGGGTCATAACATTATCCTGTACTGGTTGCCTTTATCGTTCATGTCTATGTGGTCTCTTTGGTGGGCTTTCCTGAAATGAGTGAGGCGGAGTTTCCTCTTTATTTCCACCTTCCTACCAGGATCCTAGCTGGCACAGTTACCAATGTGTTTGTACATCAGCAAGCACTGAAAAGATTTAAGATTTAATCTCAACTTTTCCACTGCAGCATCTGCCAACCTATCCCCAATATTCAGTGCCAAAGGCTGGCACAGAGCATAATACAGAGCAAAATTTCCTCAGTACGCCAGCACTCCTCTAAACATTTGTATGCATTACCTGAATCCTCAAAACAGCCGCTTGAGATAGGTACTATTATTAACTTCATTTTACAGATGAGGAGCCAACGGAAGAGGTGCACGTGAAGCAAGGAGAGGTGACAGCACTGTTTATATAGTTTAACAAGATAAAAGTACTGGGATCCCTGTTGTTTTACTCAAACCATAAGCCACCAAATCATCTGACGAAAGATGACTAACATTTCTTGAGTGCTTAGCACCTTAGCCCTCATCCTCATATCCATGATTGCATTAGTCTTCAAAGGAAACCATCGAGGGGAACAGTTATCTCCATTTTACGGGTGATGAAGCAGAGGCTGAGAGGTGCATGTGTTGACTGAGCTTGCAGGGGACACTCCACAGGCTCATCTGACTCTGGTTTGTGTACCCCACTCAGGGACCACATGGAATGCTGCTTGGGCAGACCCTCCCCGCAAAGGAAGAGCCTAGACTCTATCTTCAGTTTGTTTTCCTTTCCTTCCTTCCATTAGAGAAATCCCTACGACTCTCTACTTCCTTCTCCTCCACAACCCTTCAGTCTCCAGAATGGTCAGGAGTGACAAACCTCTCACATCTACCCACCTTTCTCTTTAAGGTTTCTGCTAACCCCCTACTGAAGGCCTTCATTATGTCCCCTCTGTAAGGCCACAGTCTCCTTAGGGTTTTGTTAGCTCATACATGTTTTCCCTGTCTCCAGCTCACTTTCCACATGGCAGCCAGATACATCATCATCTGAAAACCTCAGCTGCATGTTCTCCCCTGTTGGCTTGACTTATATCATCTCCCAACCACATAATTCTGTAAGGGATGCAGACCCTTCCCTAAAGAATGGCTTGAGCAGGACAGAATCTCACTTCACACTATGCTCAGCCTCTGGCCCATGCCTGACGTGCTCTGTCCTTCCTCCCCACAGGCTTGTCTGTCCAGGGACAACCCTTTCCTTCCTACTCACATCTCCACACTGAGGGTCCTCCTTCCTGGCAGTAGTTATTGTGTGAGGAGATGTCCTCAGGGGCAAGCAAGGAAGGGGAGCTCCATAGGGCAGGGACTATCCTCACTTCCTGCCCTCTCAGAAGCTGGCACATAAGACACCCAACCAGCCCTGTCTAAGTGGGATTTAAGTAGCAGCTCTGATTATTAAGACAGGGACAATGAATGGCATATGGAGAGAAAAACAGAGGAAAAGAGGTAATACATTGTCTGCTTTTGCTCTTCTGATAAAGGCTACAAAAAGCAGAGTTTATAGCAACAGAGAAATCACTATTATTTTGGAACTTTGAGACAAGGGTCTCTCTTTGTAGTTCAGGCTAGTTTCAAACTCACAGTCTTCCTGCCTCAGCAACACGGGATAAAGGCCTGCGCCACCCAGAAAATATTTTTATTAGAATGTGTTGAGGTTAGGTGGCAATGCTGAGGTCACAGTCTCTGCGTCTAGTTTTCTTTCATTGATCCAGCCAGTCCCGGCAAATGCTAATGAGACTTCCTATGCCCAAGGCAGAGAAACAACGTCCAGCATTCAAGTAACTCTAGCAAAGAACTGAAATCACTGCACTGAAAGCAGTGTGCTCTGTAACATCCTCGGTCTTCAGGGTCAATTGAACGCCTTCTGGCAACACTAGATTTTAGAGAAAGATTTGCGTTCTGCTGCAGTGAAAATGAAATTAACTTACCAATACAGTAGCCAGTAGTCAACTTGATTTCAAAGAGGGCAATGCTGGCTGTATTTCCCTGGCCTAGGACACCTTCGATTAAAATCTGCACAACACACAGGTCGGGGGAAGAAGGGCAGTTAGACTTCAAAATACCATGTTCGTTGGATTTCACCTGTTAGGAGTTGTTCAGCAATTCAAAGCAACCAGAAGTGTTAATCTGAGTTCATGGCCGCTGGACAGGAATTTCAGTATGGGCTTTATAGATAGAGCATGAGTGCGTGTGCAAGTGTATGTGCACTCATATGCATGCGTGTGTGTGTGGACATAAACACATACAGGTATACTTAGAAATTTTAGGTGAGTGGTATGTCTAATAAAAGTTCAGATTCAGCTGCTTTCTACTGTTATCCCAACCTCTATCTTCTCTTGGGCTTGTGGCAGCACAAAACCCAAAAACCTGTGTCCTTTGGGAAATCTATGCTAAGAATGGTCAGAAACTGGGGGCAGAGGTTTCAGGGGTAAAAAGAAACCCCTTAGAGGAGAAGGTAGGAAGCCCAAATCCAACAGATCTCCACATGACATGGAGGGGCCTCGTAAACCAACTTGTAGTTTCTATATTGATGAAAAATTTTATAGAAAGCTTGGAAATTCATGTGGTTGATTTCAAGCACTGTTAGAGTTCATGTTTGGTCCTGTTTTGGAAACTCAGCTTTTTCTTCTGTGGCTTTAGCCTTATTATTTTGCAACTACGCTGGTAGGTTTGGGGTGTGATAAGGTCTGGTCAGATGGTGTGACATGGGAATTCCTTCCCTCCATGACTGACTGATAGGAAGGGGCTCCAAGCAGACTGGGATGGAGGAGGACACAATATTTCAAAACTTTACAAAGGAGAAGAGGGTAGGACTGGGAACTACCCTCTTAGTGTTAGTGGAAAGAACACTAGGAATGGAGAAAGTTTTCGTGAAGGCTCATTGTGTCCTCAGTACCATATCTCACTAATTATCACACTTCATGGCCAGATCCTTCCCCTCTTCTGCTCTAATCCACACCTAACTTTTTACATTCTCTGCCCTCCTGTATCAGCTCTTCTGACAGAAGAGCTCTCCTTTTTTAAAAGGAAGCAGAACATGCCCTGCAAATATCTTTCCTCTGTAAATATTTCCATGTTTTCTTTTATTAGAATGACTTGTTCAAACTTTGCAGCAACTAAACCACCAGGAAGATAACATAAACATATACCACACACAATTTAGAAGGGTGAAGCTAATTGTAGGAAATAAGACTACTTACTAAAACCCATTAGAAAATCCACTTTCATTAAAGAGGTTAGCTTATACTAACCATTTAGATTCTTAGAGAAGTCTCATTTAAATAGATGGGGGAAATCTGGGAAGATGCTCTTTGGATGAATAAAGAAAATATTAATTTACATTACTAATAACCTTCCATAATACAACTACGATAAACTGGCAGAAGTTTCATAAGAGTTCATATAGCATAAAGTACATGTTACACGCCTGCATCTCCCCACTGAAGTCACCTACATTGAACTTCTTGGAACCGTTTTGCAAATCCAGGCTAGCTATGAGCCAACTGTCTGAAGGTTCCTTAGCCGACCAAAGCAAGCGATCAAAGCTTTCATCTTCGAATCTCACATAGAGGTTCAGCTGGCTGGGATCTGTCAGAGACCCTGAAGACGTGGTTATCTGGTAGACCAAGCGGAGGCAGCTCCATTCCTCAGCCTGTAAATCAGAACTTAGCAGCACGGCTTTCTCTCCCTGCTTGGCAAAGGAAGTGTCCACATAAATATAATGGCCTGGAAAGAGAAAGGAACACAGGCAAGCATCAGTCTTCTGCTTGCAATTTAGAACAAGACATACCTGTGGTCCACAAATTTGTGGGTAGAGAATCAGCAGATGCATTGGGATCCCCTGGATCCCTGGCCTCTTGTAGAAAAACTAGATTTTCTGGTAGCATTGAGAACACTTTCCTACATGGCAACAGCAGCTGGAACTGAGTAGTGCACCCCTCCAGAACACCCAAGAACAGCACTCATTTTTAAACTCATCAGCAGTCATTCTTTATTCTCCTCTCTCCGTCTCTGGAAACTACTAATCTATTTTGTCTATATGCATTTGCCTCTTCTGGAAGTGTTATATAAATAGAATCTTATAATATGTGCCCCTTTCATTTACAATGTTTTTGAGGCTGACCCACAATGTAGCATGGATTAGAATTTCATTCTACTTTGAGGCTAAATATTAAGTCTCTATTATGGATATGCCATAATATTTATCTCCTCACCAGATCATGGGCATTTGGGTTATTCTACCTTTTGGTTATTATGAGTGATAATGCTGTTATGGATGTTCACATACATTTTTTCATGTGATAGGGTTTGAATTCTCCTCATTAGATGTCTACTAGTGAAATTGTGAGGTCATACAGTAACTCTATGTTTAGTTGTTTGAGAAATCGCCAAGCTTTCTCAGTGGCTGCACCACTTACATTCCAACAGCAGTGTCTAAGTGTTCTGATTTCTCCACATGCTCACTTGCTACTGTCCACCTTTTTTTTAACCATAGTTGAGTTAGTCAGAATTTTTATCTGAGACAAACAGTTTAAAGAAGGCAAAGTTTATTTTGGCTCCCAGTTTCAGTCTATGGTTGCTTGGTCCCATAGTTCTGGGCCAGTGGTTAGGCTTGTGATGAAGGGTAACTGTTCACCTCATGGCAACAGGAAGAAAAGAGAGTAACAGAAAGGAAGGGGCAGGGAGCAAAAAACATCCTTCCAGGGCACAACCCAAATGAACTGCTTCCTCCAACTAGGCCCTCTCCTATTTTCACCACCTCCTAATAATCCTATTATGTTATGAATCTATCAAGGGATTAATCCATTGATCAGGCTGGAGCCTTTAGCATCCAGTGACTTCCTAAAGCCCACCAGCTGGCAACCACACCCCTGATACATGACATTTCATAGTTAAACAATAACAATAGTCATCCTGGTAGATGTGTGGTGGGATTAACATTTTCATTGGTGTTTCTTTAATGACTAATATAGAATGACTACTGGCCATTTGCGTGTCTTCTTTGGAGATATGTCTGTTCAAACCCTTTGCCCATTTTTAGTATTAGTCTATTTGTCTTTTTATTGTTGAGTTCCAGTTTTATATTTCTGGAAACTAGATCTTATCAAATATCTGATTTGCAAATTTTTCTCTGTGGTTTGTCTTTTTACTTTCTTTTTCTTTTTTGTGGCAGTACTGGGGTTTGAACTCAGGGCCTCACACTTGCTAGTCAGGTGCTATACCACTTAAGCCACTCCACCAGCCACTTGTCTTTTTATTTTCTTGATGGTGTCCTGTAAATCACAATTTTTTTTAACTTTGATGAAGTCCAACTTTCTGGTTTTACTTCTTTGGTGTGTTTTTTGTGTTGTAGCTAAGAAGTTATCCCCTACTTCAAAGTCATGAAGGTTTATACCTATGTTTTCCTCTAAGAATGTTAGAGTTTTAGCTCTTACATTTCGGTCTTTCGTCTGTCCTGAATGAATTTTTTTCTCATTTAAACTGTTGTCATTCTTGTCAAATAATTGAGCACAGATAACAGGTTTTATTTCTGGACTCTCACTCCTGTTCCATAGGCCTGTCTCTGTCCTAGTCTAACTTTGTAGCAAGCTTTGAAACTGGTAATGGTGGGATTCTTCATTCTTCTTTTTAAGATCATATGACTACCTGGGTCCCATTTACTCCCAAATGAACTTAAAGATGAGGATGGAATAATCTAAGTTTCAACATTATATGCCAGGAAATTCAATGTTCATGTCAATATTGAGCTGTCTTCTTGAGTGAATTTTCAGTTAATTTTCCTTGGTTAATTTTCCAAGTCAGTAAAAAGCTAGTTTCACCATTTTCATCAGTGTTCTCGCTGTGTTTAAGGGAAGGGATTACCTGAATTCTTTACTACACCAAACTCATGACATCACTCCCTTTACCCATCCTTTTTAACCAATAAGAGTAGAAATCAAATGCTTCATGGATGTTAACATAAACACAAATAAATAAGAGAAAGGCAGAGTGGCTGAACTCACATGGGGATTGAGCCCTTCTTCATGACACATCAGGCCAAGGGTCTGGAAGAGATTACTAGCCATGGTGCTGGACACATGGAGTTAGGAGGAGAGGGAAGGACTCACTTCAAATGCGCTGCTTAGGCACCCTGAACTGATTTATGAGACGTTTATTGGAAATGATAACCTCTTTAAGGGGTCAGAAAAGGTCCATGAACTTCCAAAACAGAGTTTTTAAAAAAGTAAGTAAGAAATCAAAACCAATAATTAAACTGCCTTGCTCAAAAGGGCAGACTCCATTTGCCCCAGGATCTGAACATGTCTCCTTGATACTCACAGGCAAAGCCACAGGAAAAGCTTTGCTATTTCAATGAACACAAGGCAAAGACCTGAGTCTTGAGGTCATGCTCAATTGCTGGACACAGCCACACAGCCAGAGCCTCATAGTCTTGGTGCAGTATGACAGGTCTAAATCCCAGGCCATCACTATGACAGGTGGTTAGCACATGTATCTCAGGGACTTCCTCTTTTGTTGTTCTTGTTGATACTAGGGTGTGAACTCAGGGTCTTGTGCCTGTTAGGCAACTATCCTACCACTTGAGCCACACTCCCCAGACCTTTTTTGTTTTAGGTTATTTTTCAGATAAGAGTCTTAGGCTTTTTTTAGCTGGACTGAACTCTGACCACAATTCTACTATCTATGCATAGCTGGAATTGCAGCTGTGACCAGCTTTTTTGTTGATATGGGGTCTCTCTTGTTCTTTTTTTGGACAGGGCTGGCCTTCAGCCTCAATCTTCCCATCTCTGCCTCCCAAGTAGCTGGGATTACAGATGTGAGCCACTGTGCCAGACCTACAAGTATTTCTTGGCATCCCTGGAATCCTATTAGCTAATGAATCCACAGCAGTCCTTCCTTATCCATAGTTTCACTTTCCACTGTTTCAGTTCCTGCATTCAATCATAGCAAAAATATCAAAATTCCAGGAATAAGTGATTCATTAAGTTTGCTTGCTGTCCCAAGTAGTGTGAAGAAATCTCATGCTGTCCCACCTCATCCCACCCAGAACATGAATCATCCCTCATGCAGTGTATACACACTGTCTGTGCTACTTTCCCATTAGCCATTCAGTAGTTGTCTCAGCTAACAGATTGTTATGGTACCACCATGCTTGTGTTCAAGCAACTCTTATTTTACATAATAATGGCCCCTATTAGTGATGCTGGCAAATTTATTACAGTATATTATTATATTTTTTCTATTTTGTTATTTGTTACTGTTGTTTATCTTTTACTATGATTAATTTATAAATTAAACGTTATCCCGGTTGTATATACATTGGAAAAAGCATAGCATCTGTAGGGGTCAATACTACACATGGTTTCAGGCATTCGCTGGGTGTACTAGAGCATGGATAGGAGAGCTATCCACAGTACTGCCCTTCAGGTGTGACCATCGCGTTGGTGTGACTACATGGTGCCCTGCACCCCACCCAAGATTTGCAGTGTATAACCCAGACTTAAGACTTTTTCATACAAGGACTAACTGTATTACCAGTTTCTTTATCTGCAACATGGGTATAATAAAAGAATGGAATCCTATTACATACATACATATTTCAGTATTTGGAAAATCACTCAATGTACTCAGAAAAACCAAACCAATTGAAAACAACTCAGACATACACAGCCCTACAAATGACATATTATCTAACATGAAGAGTCACTTAATGAAATTTATCTCATCTAGTTTCAAAGCAGGCATTTCCACATAGAAAGGAAATGTGGTTATGTGGTACCTAAAACAGGTATAATATGTAGAAAAACCATGTACATTTTATTCTGTGCATAATTTATGGAATATTCTAGAGCAATATAGACAGTAGGTAATTTTCATCCTGTGCTGACTAGACTATAACACTCAAGTGAGACATGACTTTATTTGCATAGGGTCATTGTGAGAACCTGGTGTAATGATGTACATAGCTGCTTTGTAAATGGCAATGTTGACTGTTAACTATTTCTGTTCTCCTCATCAAGAGAGGGGCTCTCCAGTAGTTTTGAAGATAGTAAGAAGTGGATATTCCTTCTTACTTTTTTCTGGTATGGACCAGGTTGGAATTTGCTCAGGTAGCAGCTCAGCAGCACATTCTCAAGACTGATAGGATAACAGCCATCACTCCTCTCATTCTAATTGATCATTTGGTGTTGAAATCTATACCTTTGGTATTCGCCTCTATTGGGGCCCATCCTCAGTGTTCCCCTCCTACAACTAAGCCCTGGTTCTCACCCCATACCATCTAAACTAGAATCCAGCAGTTTTACCCCTGGGATGATTCTGGATGAAATCAGAATCTTGTAGCCCAGGTCTGACAGCAATGCCTATGTCTCTGTTTAGCTCTTTGCTTGCTGCATAGCTAAGAGAAGTGCACTGCCTTCTTTTTGGTAGCTTCCTCCCCAGGGCTGACATCCAGCCCCTGAACTCATGTAAGGATTTCTCCTGATTTCCTGGATGTGTGCTTTCCTGGATCACATCTATGGAAGGGGATGGAGTAGTCAAGTGAGACTATCATGCCAGCCAGGTTCAAATTCCAGCCACTCAGAAACTATGTAACGTTCGGCAAGTTAACTATAGTATCAGCAATGCACTATCTTCATTGGTAAAAGACTACAAACTTCAGTTTGAAGTTCTCAATTTTATTATTAACCTGTGTCATTTATTTAATAAATCACTTACTATTAAAATCA